TGGTGTTTCTCCTACTTTCCACCCCCCTTTACTGGAATGACACTTATGAGGAAGACTAACACCTTATAATCATTTAACTCATCAACAATATCTAAGGGAATTAGTCTAAAACTTCACACACACACAAATTCCCTACTCCGTGAGTAAGTAAACAAATTGGGCACCAAGAGGTATTTTCATTTATTATTAAACTTGCAGTTCATCTACTAAGGCTCCAACTACCATAAAAGAGAAAGTGTAAACTTATGAGCCATAAAAGTTCTCATCTTAACAGTAAAATCTTCTACTGTAATCTCTTCTATCCCTACCTCCACCTTGAATGCATACAGTTCTGGCTGTCATTACATTTCACATATACAAAAGAACTGGAATTGAATACTGGCTCCCCAACTTTTAGGAGCTTAAAACCTTAAAAATCTCAACTTCTTTGAGCTTTAATTTCTCTCTCTCTCTCTCTCTCTCTCTCTCCCTCTCTCTCACACACACTCTCTCTCACACACACACACACATACACACACACACACACACACACACACTCACACAAATAATATAGATGTGTTTTTTAAGTCCCTTTGGGCCTGGAAGAAATATGACCTTGTATTTAATCTTTCCTCCTCCTTAGGTTGATGACTTATCCTCCTCCTTTTAATAAAGATAAAAATCTTAAGCTTTCTTTTAATTTTAATTGGAAATTTAAAAATATATTGTGTCATAGCTAAAAACAAATCAATGTCCAGCCCCACTACTGGTTGAAATCACTGGCCACCTACTGAATCACTGTGGTGACAGCTCTAGGCCCTTGAGATAGATGTTGCTGGCCCATCTTTCTTCCTTTGAAGAAAATAAAGACTTGGAAATATACAATCCAAAAGCAGAGTCCTCCTACCACAACTAAATAAGCAACTTTACTTAAGCAAAAATTATTACTTATTCCCAGAGTAAACCAAAAGGCTCCACTCAGAACACCTCTAACAGCTACAGAAACATGCAAATTAAAAGCCCCAAGCTCTTATCCCTAGTCTCTTGCTAGACAATGTTGGTTAAGCTGTATAGTAGCCCCTATCTTTGAAATAAGAATGTTCACCCTAGTGAATCACTTTAAGATCCTTTTGTAAGTATAGGAGTCTGACAGGCCTAGAAATAAACTCCCAGTCTTGAAGAAGAATGAATGTTTCCCAAAGAAGCAATGCCATAAATGATGGCTGGCTTCGCCTGTGTTATTATTTTAAAACCTTCTTTTAGGGTTAATCTTTCTATCGTTTTTTACACCGATGCCACCTTAAATTTAAATAGTTCTGATTGCTAAGGAATTCCAACACATTTCATTCCCACATTCCAAGCATACAAATCCTGAATATGAACATATATGGTCCAGCACTTACGACTTGAGCACTGTGGGCAAGTCACCTAGCATTTTCAAGCCTTGGTTCCTTCATTTATAAAATGGAGAGAACCTGACTTCATGACTTCACAGGGATACAAGAACCAAATAAACAATGTGAAAACATGTTTGGGAGGAGTGCTGATATACATATAAATGCTTGCTAGAAGATCTCCAAATTCCCACATTTCACTAAAAGAAAGAAATGTTCATATGTAGAACCTGAATGGCTTCTAGTTGCTGAGTGGCATTACATATTTTAAAGCCAAACAAGTCCCTTGGGACTTTTCTATCTAAAGATCCTTCAAGAAAGGTAGAGTAAGAAGTTAAAACTTAGGTATCTACGTTTTAATATTTTCACAGGTGGAGCACACACTTGCACTACATCCCTCTTGAGGGCAGGAATAGTAAGTACCTTAGTCCTCATTTTAGCTACAGTAACCGGCACAGAAACTAGCTCTGTGCTTAATATCAGAATACACTTTTCCAGAATAAAAGTAAATGTTCATGCATGTAAAGTGGAAAGATGTTTGGCCCTGGAGTACAGATACCGGCTCTCACACCACATATAGCCTCGCACACGTCCCTCAAGCGTCCTGAGCCTTCATTTCCCTTCAAAAATCTACAGTGTAAATCTGTAATGCTCCTTTTATCTGATGCCAGACACCCAGCCACAATACTGTAAATAAAGCCTTGGAGCGACAAAATGAAAAAAAAAAAGTTTCTCACAAAGTCCATACATGCACTTTATCCATAGTAGAGGGCTATGGATTTTTATTTCATGTATATTTATAACAAGCTTGCTTATTTGGTTATGAAACATTTCCTATTGTTGGCTAAAAGCAGTAAAATAGATCAGGTATGGAGGAAAGAGAAGCCCAAAAGGTTCCTCTTCCTGATGCACAGAAAGAAACTAAACCTTCCCAAAAAGGTAGATCAGGTTCAATAAAAAAATCATACTATGGCCTAATATCACTGAACATTTGACAAAAATCATTCATTATGGTAGTCGCCATCTCTTATGCCCAAATTACACTCGATTCGTGATTAATTTAATTCAATTTTTAATTATGGTAAACCATAATGAAAGCTCAACAAATGCTGCATTCCAACACTATCCACTGTTAGCCCACTTATTAACCTGGGAGGGAACGATAAAGCCCTCTTTTACAGTTCACTTTTCCTTACTCAAGTAATTCCTTCACTTAACTGCTCTCATTTTTCACTACAGAACATTAATGGAAGCATAAAGAAAGGTCATCTAATTTTAATGAACACAAAAGTTGGCTTTTGAGTTATTAGAGGCATTTTATATATAAAGTGGATTATTTTACAGAATTAATTTCCCCCCCAATGATGCCATTATACTTTGAAGAAAAACAGTGTTATTATTTGCCAACTACAGGTAATCAGCTCCTCCAAGGAAGTGACCACATCTTTCAATTCTGATCCTTAAAGTACATGATAGAGTACTAGAGCCATCAGAATCCTTAAATATTTCTGAGACTGGTTTTGAAAGGACTTTTATATATCAGTAAAGGAAATCCAAATGCATATACAGTTGACTCTTGAACAACGCTGGGGTTAGGGGAACCGACCTCCCCTATGCAGCTCCCCCCAAAACTTAACTACTAATAGCCTACTGTTGACTGTAAGCCTTACCAATAATATAGACAGTTGATTAACACATATTTTTTGTTATATGTATTATATGCTGTATCCTTACAATAAGGTAAGCTAGAGAAAAGAAAACATTAAGAAAATCATAAGGATGAGAAAACACATTTACAGTACTGAAAAAAATCTGTGTATCAGTGGACCCAGGCAGTTTAATCTCATGTTGTTCAACAGTCAATTGTAAATGTTTTGGAAAGTTAAATACGCCAAGACTCTTAAGCAAATTCTGATAGAATTACACTAAATGTAATATATGATGGAAACTAATTTATAATATACTGTTAAATAAAAAATATCAGAATAAAAATTATATAGAAAATGTTATATATAAAATATATATAATATATTTTATATATCTATTATAGAAATCATATGTATCAAATATATATTATAAATCTATAAGTCTATATATTTATATAAATGTAGTTTTATACATTTTAAAAAATATGAAATATTTTTAAATTTTATTATATAAAATATAAAAATATATAAATGTAAAAATTACATATAATAGGCTAAAATTACATATGAAATGTAATTACAATTTAAAAAATATCTATGCATTGGAAAAAAGACTGGAATAAAATGCATAGAAACATTAACAGCATTTGTGTTTGAGTGATGAGAGCATGGATGCCACGTTCTCCATATGCTAAATCTTACTTAATGAGTATACACTACTTCCATGAAACTACTTTTTAACAAAAGAAAATAAGTAAATAAATGGGAAGGAGCACTGCTTACACGTAAGAAAATGGCATAATTAGACCAGTTACCCTTTAGTAAGTGCTATCATTAAACTTTTACCCTCACAAGGACCTTTTTAAATGATCACAATGATAACTAATTTATAGAATGAATATTTGTCCTGGAGAGACATCCTGTCTAATTCTGTCACCTGACAAGTTCAGGAAAAAAATTATAGTTGCATGATGCTTTACAGTTTACAAAGCGCTCAAAATGTCCCATCGCTTGTCCTTCCAACAATCCTGTGAGATAGGTTCAAATGCCCCATTTTATGGATCAGGAAAATAAGGGTTGGAGAGAAAACGTGCTTTAATAATAACACCTGCTATTTATCGAATGTTTACTATGTGCCAGCCTCTGGGTAAAGCACAACAATCCTGTGAAAATTATCACCATTTTACAGATAAGAAACTGAAGGGCAGAGGTTAATCGTGCTCACTATCTTACAGTGAGAACATGCTCTAACTCGAGGCCATGCATTGAAAACAGGAGCCCTGCGTTATAATCCGCTTCCCACAGCCCTTTAGCAGAAGAGCCTATGATCCAGTTCTATGACCTATCCTCTACACTGGTCTCCACGCCTACTATTTATTTTAAGAGTTTGCCAGTCACTGTGATTCCAGAGGCAAAGGGGCTAGGCCCAGTAATACCCCAAAACTAATGCTGGCGGAGAGGCCGCCTAAGCTCAGGAGGAAGACAAGGCAGTGAATAACTAGTGTCGGGGACAAGGCTAACAAGCCTCCTAATTTATACATTAAGAGGTAACCAAGAGGAAACAAACTACCTCAGGCAGGGGCAGCAACAAACATCGAAATTCCTGCACTTACAACTCGGATAACTCGGTACAATTTCCGGAGTGCCTTTGGGTTCATCTCAAAGGATCTCTGCAAAAATCCGTGGGCTGGGCCGGGACAGGGGTTAGTCTCACTTTACCGAAAAAGCTGGAAGAAACGCAACAGTGGCCCGAGCAGGCACTAGAGCAACGGGTGTAAAAGCTAGGGGCAAACACCTGGGGAGACCGGGCACCTCCACCAAGTCTGTGCGGCACCCGAGGGGCCTCAGGCCAGAGCAGAGTGAAGGAAGAGCCCAAGGCCCGCGGCGGGGACCAAGGCCCGGAGGGAAGCCGCGGCGCTGAGGCCGTCGCCCGCCGGGGTTCGAGGACCGTGGAGGTCTGCCTAGGAGCTTCGCTACTCACGTTGGACCAGTCGATCTCCAGTGAAAGTGGAAGAGCAGCTGGTGATAAGAGCACAGGGGACTCCCGCAGCCATAACTGCGCTCCTGAGCCGGTTCCGTCAGGAGGCCACTTCCGCCTTGGGCTGCACCACGGCCGCTGGCGCGCGGGGGGAAACACGCCAGGAACTGCGCGTTCTCAGAATGGCCGGGCGGCCCTGCCTCCTCCCTCACCCCCTCTTCCGCTCCTGGCGTAGGACAGACCGCGCTTGGTGTTGCCATGGGGACGAGCTCACTCTGCAGAAAATATCCGCGCTTGCAGACCCGGCCTCCCAGGAGAGGCGGCCCTCCTCGGCCCTAGCTATGGCTCAGGAGACTGAAAACTATGATCCCATCGGAACCATCTTAATCCAGGTGGGAACTGGGCCCCTCTCGGCCCTGTCCAGCTAAGACGCTTCGGAACGAGCCCAGCTGCTCCTGTCCGCTCGTACCCACCCTTTTGGAGCGCCTCCCCCAGACTGCCTGCAGAAAGCTTCCAAATAATGCCCCAACCCTGACTTCGCTCAGGAGCCTCACACACCTCTGGTGCCCTGCCCTGAAGGTTACGCTGCAGAGCAACCACCGTTCTGCCTCTGGTAAAACTCACAGACAATGCATGCACCCTGTAACCTTTACTTGCGAACAATCTACCTTACACTGAGACACTATTTGAAAATGTAGATTCTGAAAATTTTTAACCCATGATATAGGGGGAGTGGCGAATATACGAATCAGACACATTGGGGAGGTGGTAAGAAATTTGGGGAGAAATTGAAATATGTGAACTGCTTTTTTTAAGCGTCCCAATTTTTTGGATCTAAAAGCCCCCTTACAAATAAATAAGTCCTGGGGATGTAATGTACAGCATGGTGACTATAGTTAATAATACTGTATTGTATATTTGAAAGTTGCTAAGAGAGTACGTTCTGAAAGTGCTCATCACAAGAAAAAAATATATAACTGTGCGATGATGGATGTTACCTAGACCTATTGTAAGATCATTTTACAATACATACAAATATCAAATCATTATGTTGTACACCTGAAATTAATATAATGTTTTATGTCAAGTATATTCAATAAAACAAATAAAATAAAAGTCCCTTGCTTGGGAACACACACATAAAAAAATATATGAACTATATAAAGAAACTATGTTAAAAATTGCAAATCAAGTTACTTGGGAATATAAAAATGTGACAAAAAACAGGAGAGTAATTTTTTCTAATCTGAGGGAGGAGGACTATCAAAAAAGTCTTAACTTCTCCAGTATAACTCAGTTTGTGACAGTTACACTCAGATTTTTCTAAACTATTAAAAGCATTTTGCTGTTTTTTCACATTTACCTATTGTAGTTTTAAAAGGTTTCCACATGTATCATCACTTCTAACTCATATTTAGTTCCATCTGATTAATTTGCCCAAGGTCACTCTATTAGGACTCTCACTCAAATCTGATTGAGTGATTTGAGGTCTAATTTTTCTTCCTGCCAGGATTTTTATTTCTTACCTCCTATCTAGAAGGGACTTCTTTAAATTCACCTTTTCCAAAATACAAACCCCTAAACTTACCATGTTTATAGACTTCCTCGTTATGAATCATACCCAAATCTTACCTCACTTTTTTTTTTTTTTAAGATTTTATTGGGGAATTGGGGAAGGGGAATAGCCAAGTTGTCCTTGAATCTTAGTTGTGGAAGGTGCAGCTAGCTCAGCTCCAAGTCCAGTCACCATCCGGCAGCCCTTCAGCAGCCTCCGGCTTCTCAGCTCAAAGTGCTGTGTTCAATCTTAGTTGCCGGGAGGCGTAGCCCACTATCCCAGGCAGGAGTCCAACTGGCAACCTGGTTGTTAGGAGCACATGCTCTCACCAGCTGAGCCATCCTGCCACCTGTTGGCAGCCCAGCGGCAGCTCAGCTCTTGCGCAGCTCACCGGCCCATGTGGGAATCGAACCGGCGACCCTGTTGCTCAGAGCTCAAGTTCTTAATCAACTGAACCACTCGGCTGGCCCTTCTTACCTCATTTTTATTATCCTCTCTTTCGCCATTACCCTAGAATAAGTTTAGCCAAACTGCAAAGTCTAAGGCAACAGTCTCCACACGACTGCCCCTACTTTTACATCAGCCTCAAGTTCAAGAATCCCTAGAGCCACCCTCACTTCAGACCAGCTGTCTATAATTTGGGAAACCTGACCACTCTCACATTGGCTAATTTGCTAGAGTAACTCACAGAATTCAGGAAAGCACTATGCTTACACAGTGTTATTATAGCAAAAGGATACAAATAAAAATCAGCCAAAGGAAGAGATACATGGGGCAGAGTCCAAGAGGATTCCAAGAGGAGAGTCCAAACAGGGTTTCCAGTCATCCTCTCCCTGTGGAATCATGGATCACATTACCTTCTCCCAGGCACAATGTGTGACAATATGCACAGAGTATTGTCTAGAGAAGCTTACCTGAGACTTTGGTGTCCAGAGTTTTTATTGGGGCTCAATCACACACTGCCCCACATGACTGACCTTTCATCTCCATCCCTTCCGAGACGTTAGATAAATGCTTTTAGTCTTCAGCACCTCTAGACGTTGGAACTGATGCAGCATGGCTCAAAGCCCCCATCATAAATCACCTTGTTAGACTGTCGTGGCCAAAGCCTCCAAGCAGACACCCCAATCAAGCAGGACACTTTAGGGGGCTAGTGATCACCTCCCAGTATCTAAGGGCAAAGGCCAGACCTCTCTTTAGATAAGGTTGATTATTCACTACACATACTGTCTTCCAAATCCAGGGCCCATTTTTACAGACTCCAAATAAGTGGAACACTAATGGAGATTCCTACCCAGAAACAGCCAGTTCTTTCTCACAGTATACTTCATTTGACTACAGGAACAATTAAGCTTTTCTTTAGGTTCCTCAATTTCTCCAGACCTGGGATAATTCTTTTAAAAAGACCAGATTCCAGGGAGAATTCTCATGCCTAATTTCACACTTTCCCTTGAGATGATTCTACTTCCTGGGGCTGCTTCCTTTGTGGTTTGGAGTAGTGTAGCACAGTGTATTGGCTGAAAAGCCAAAAGCCTGCTCACTTCAGAGTGGGATCCAGAAGTAGCTGTTTGGTCAATCTAGGATCAAATGTTACAGCATCAATGTCTGTGGTCACTGAATTATAAAATGGACCAGAAGAGCTGAGAACAGTCATATGCATGGTGATCAGCACCCTCACTTGCTTTAAAAGGTTGATTCAAGGGACGCTCCAAGTAGAGGCTGTGTAGAAAAAGAGACCTTACATGTTAGCCTGATTATTGAGGCTGATCTCTAGATGCAATGTAAAATTCTTCCCATTAATATGTAGACTATGTATAATGAGGAAAATGTGGAAGACCTTTCCTGCTTCCCACTGAGCCCTGAGTATTTGTGAGCATACAGCACCATGCTCAGACATGCAACATGGATTTCAGTTCTGCCTGGGGCTGCAATTTCTTTCCTGCAAACAGGCTACCAATAAACTGTACGGCTAGTGGAAAGAACACTTCTTTGGGAATCAGAATACTGAGGTCTGACCCTGGCAATGACCGTTCTTCCAGGTGGGTAATTTTGGGCTAGTCACTTCAGCTCTCTGGGCCTGCTTTCTCTTCTGTAGGATACATAGCTTGGATTAGATCCACCTCTAAATAAATTGGCTGAATAACCCCAAAGCTACATAATTTCTCTTTATTGTAAAGTGGACTTCCTTTACAATTAGCTTAGATAATCAAACCTGTGTGTGTGTGTGTGTGTGTGTGTACACTTCATACACACACATATATACTAGGAGTGCCAAAGAAATACATACACATGACTTATATTCATCTTTTGTTATTGGTATATATTGAGAATTACAATTTTAATACAGTTTTTTCTTTCTTAAAATGTGTATACATTTTTTTCGCTCTATCTATCTATCTATCTATCTATCTATCTATCTATCTATCTATCTGCCAGAAAAGCAAAGTCACTTCATCCTAATATGGTGTATTTGGTCTGTATCTCAATTAGATACATTAAACAACCCTTTAGACCAGTTATCAAATTGTGGTCCCATGACCAGCGCAATCAGCACCAGCGAGGAACTTGTGAGAACTGCAAGCTCCCCAGACCCCACTCCAGACCCACTAAATCAGAAGCTCTGAGGATGGGTTCCTGCGATCTGTTTTTCACAAGCCTTTCAGACAGCTCTGATGAATGCTCAAGTTTGAGAGCTGTTATTTAGGTCGTATTGTAAAATATAAACTGTAATATGATTTCAAAGAAAAACCACAATAATAAAAGCTAGCATAGTTTTTATCAGGTATCATGCATGGTTCTAAGTGTTGTATATATTTTAACTCATTTAACCCTTACAACAGAGTATCAGATAAGTACTATGATTATTTGACCATTGAAAAGGAAACTGACCGAAGAGTATTGTGGGTAGATCTGTATACATAGAAAATGCAAGCAGTCTTTTCAACCCTTTTCAATCCATCAATCCCAGTATAAAAAGGAAGTCTTCCCTTGGCCCATTTGCTCCTTTAGATATTTAAACCCTGCCTTTTCCACTGAATTTTCACCAACCTCTAGCTTTTTATGTTTACAAATATACATTTGTATGTTGGTAGATATTATGCATGTACTGGTTAATGGTTGGCATAAAGGCTCTGGATTCAGACTACCTGGATTTGAGTAGTTCCACCAATTAACCAGCTGTGTTACCTTGCACAGGTTACTTAACCACATTAAACCTCAGACTCCCTCAAGTATAAAATGATGATAATAATATGAACGCCCTCATAGGCGTTTTGTAAGGATTAAAATATAGGCTAACATAAAGTATTACACTCAATAGATGCTAGTTATTATTTGATCTGATCTCTTATTATTTAATATAACCTAGTTTTGTGTATGTTTCTGTGTCTTTTTAAGATTAGCCTCCCCTTTAAGTTGCTGGAAGAAAAGGAAAAATTAATTCTATCCTGTCTTTTTAACCAGGACTACTCCATTCTTAACTAGAACTTTATGGGTGTTGCTATTGGCAAACAAGGTATGCCTTATTTCCCTGTTACAAACTGATTTTTTGGATATCCCATTGTACCTAGTATAGGATTGGGCCCATCGATCCTGGATGACTGGATAATGATGTACTTATTAAGTCATTCGCTAATAATTTGTGTTCTGTTCAAAAATGAGTGGAGCTGGGGTAATATTTACTATTATTTACAAAACATAATAGATGATACAAATTAATAATAAAAGTGTTATTTTGATAAAATATCTAAAATACTAAAGAGAAAAATCTTTAAATACATTAATCAATGCTCTAATTATAAACTCTGTGTGACTTATTATGAAAACATGTGCCTTAAGTATTTGGATTTTCCAGGATAGTTCTGATTGTGAATATTCTGTCCCACTGTTAGATCATATACTACTGTCTATGTTTTCTTTTTTGGTTCAGGAAATAGGATGATTGTTTCAGGAAATATGACTATCACCTCCACGTAGAGTTCTACTAGGCAGCATTTTGTTAATTACTTAACTTCTTTCAATTTTAAGTCTAAATTCAGACATTTTACAATATTAGCTGGATCTTTCCTCAACTAATCAGAATAGTGAGGTTTTGCTACAACCATCATTACAATTAAAATAGTAGCCAACACTTACCGAGAGCCAGACACCGCTGAGAGCTTTAGATTTTCTCAAGTCCTAACAACAACTCTGTTAGGCATGTATTATTTTATCCCCAGTTTACAGAAGTAGAGACTTATGTACAAAGAGATGAAGTAACTTGCCCGAGGTGATAAATCTTAGACAGTTTATGACATGTTTGTGAAACAATCTTAAAGAGGTGTGCTTGTGACTCTGGGATGTTTCCTAGATGCTTTCTTTTATTAGTAACTCTTAGAAGCTTTATTTTTATAATCTTTTTAAAATATATCTTTATAAATGATTGCTTGGCCCAAATATTAAACATATGTTTGTGCAACAAGGATTACCTAGTCTTGCTATCAAAAAGTAGCTTTTTAACTAGTTTTGGAAATCATGTTTCAAAAATCTGACATATGTTAACACCAACTTTGGAAATATTGGAGCTAATTGACACCTTGATATTATCACTGTCTTTCTTACCAATCCTTCCGTCTGGTTTGCCAGGAGCATGTGGCATGAAAATGAATTGGGGAGTGATGAGAATGACTCAGGCAAACTCTATCTTTAGCACAAAGGAATAAAATGGAATTATGAGACTGCTTTTGCAATACGGAGTCTGGTTGCATGGCTCTTTTAAATCCTAGAGCAAATCTTTACTGCGTTAACTATTTCAAGGCCTTCTTCTTAAGCAGCCGTCCCCAAGCTGTCAAAATAATAATCTTCCGAGTAGGAAATGTATGGAAAGCAATGCATTTGATGATCACAGAGATGATAGGTGACAGCAAAACTTCAATATGGTAGATTGGATCTATTTGATGTACACTGAATCTCTTTTCCTATCCAAGTGTGGTGAAAGATTTTCTACAGCACTTGTCACTATTGCAATTATACAAACAGATGTGTGGTTATTAGGAGGGGAGAAGAAACTATCTGGCAAGAAAAGTAAAGTGAAAAGCTCTTGAGAAAGATTAAAAGAGCAATTCAAATCAGTGAGCATTTCCTAGGTGCCAGTTATATGCAAGGAGATTCATAAGAAAAGACGAGTTAACATTTGTTCAGTGCCCTCTTACATGGCTGGCCCCATACAAAGCACTTTACATGCTTTAACTCATTTTATTCTGGCCACTATTCTGAGAGGTAGCTATTTATCTCCATTTTATAGATGAGAACACTGAGGCTCTAAAAAGCTAAGAAAATTTGCCAAGCTCAGTTTAGTAAAAGAGGAAATAGGATTGTAGTTTATATATGGTTCCAGAGCCTGTATTCATTCATTGTCACACGCATCGCCTCATTTTCATTCAGTAGTTCTATGAAGTAGAATAATTCTTTTTTTTTTCTCAGTGAAGGAACTAGAGAAAATGTGGATGGTGCACATGGACATCATGTGACTAGTGATTGAATGAGGAATGACGTTCATCTGCCTTTTATTCCTTCTTACTATGTCCCCGACTTGCACATATTACTCATGACTCTAAGAAGGATAATTGTCCGCACGAGGCAGATGAAGAAACCAGACCTTTGGTTCCCTGATAGTAACCCAGTACAGTTTCCACCCCCTTACAACACTTGACAGGCATAATTACAGAATGATGATACATGAAACGACAAAAACTAGAGCTACAAGAAGGGAATTTAGTGCATTCAAAGGGGCCTGGAAGTGGGGACTGCCCTTGAACTGCCTATTTGTCCTTTCCAAATGTCTTTAGACAATAGATAGTAAATCAGCTTGCAGCAGTGATTTAGACAAAACAATTGAAAGAAGTACATCTTCATCCTTAGTGCCTACACGCAAGCAATAGGTGTGTTCAAATTTCAATCTGGGAGCCCGGGAGGCTTTACGTGACAATTTGTGCAGAGTACAAATGACCAGATGTGTCTGCCAGACTGTGATGCCCATGAGTGAAAAGATGCAAATTCTGATCTTTCGACTACTTGACTCAGTGGGAATATTCGCAAGTAATCGATAACCTAGGTTGAACCAATGTGTCATTCCAGTTAGACTAACAGAAAAAGGCAACCATTTCAAAACGCCTTTAGCAACCCAGTCTGCAGATTGTTATTGGTGTGACTACCGCTGAAACAGGTGTTGGGTTCATAAATTTGCATAGCAAAATGTTTTTCTTGTAGCAGCAGCCCATACAATAATTGGTGCCATCTGTATTTATCTGTTGAAGTTTGGTCCCTAATATGAATGCAGAGAGAATCTTGTGCCGTCTAATTTCACAGTGCCCATTTTATTCTGAGGGCGCTTAACATTGGGGAGATAGTCATCATTTCTTAGGAAAATACAAATTGAAGGAAAATGTTAAAGTAATAAGGCATTTTTTTTTCCTTCATGGATCATGTCTGACTACATAAAACAAAATCAAGGCCACATACCTACAGAACTGCTGCTTCAAAGCAGTTAGTGAGGAAGATCCAGCTAGAATGCAAAACCCACAGGCCCTGCCAGCTTATTTACAATCCTCTTTTGAAAGTCATGGCTTTCACTAGGATCTCTCTTTGCTGGAAGTTTTCTTACCTTTTAACCAATTAGTGGAGACCAGGGTTTGGCATAAACTTCTTATTGTCTCTGACTCAACTGCTTTGCCATGTGAGAAAACAGAAGCTATTTGAGTTGCAGTTTTAGCTTGGATTTGTTTCTAATGCGGAAAGGAAAAAGTAGAAAATTGTATGAAAGCTTAGTTTTTTAAAAATCTGAAAGACAATAATGGAACATTCTAATAAAGAATATCTTAGAATCATAAAGACAGACTTTTTCCATGAACACTGTAAAATCAACTTTACAGTCTCTAGCAACTCAAGCAAATTGCAAATCTTTAAAGTAAATAACAGTGTTAGGTGGACTATGCATGTATTCTTTTAATATTTCATATTTTTTGTACCTGCAGGTCCATGAAGATCTTCATCAATTAAGGGAGAAGTTAACAAACTTCCCACTTGAGGAAAGAGGAGAGACACTAGACATTCAGAATCTTGAAACAGCAATCAAAAGGACTGAAACGGGGCTAAGAGTAAGTAGAAGTTTAGATATTAAATAAAATACCAGAAGGAGACAAAGATTCCTCTTGAAGAAAAGAACTGTGGTTCTCACAGGACCCTGTGTAATCCTGTAACAGAGGTGGACCTAGGGTAGTCATCAGCTTTCTTATTCTCCTTTTTTTAAAAAAATGTTAATGATGATTATTAACTGATTGATTTCAAAAAGAATTTAAGATATTGACAGTGTAAGATTATGCAGTGATATCCTCTCAAATGTGGTTTGATAAAAAGAATTTAGAATTTAAAAAATAATCACTATTAGTCCAACAATATGTCTAACCAAAAAGGACTTATACCAATACATCGTAGAGCGTTTCTATCAGATTCACTGGGATTCTAAAAAATAAAAGTTGACTTTTCCCAAATAGCTTAAGTATCTTGAGATTAGTCATTTTTGTAATACTGTAATCCAGTGGGTAAAACTAAAGAAATATATACCAACTTTGGAACAGAGAAATGAAGTACATTGGGACTCCATTATTACAGACAGATCTAAGGGCAAGGGAGGATCCAATTTTCAGACCAAGATAATATTCATTTATGAAACAAGAATGTACGTATATCCAAAGGAAACAAAAACACTAACTCTAGAAGACAGCTGCACCCTCACATTTTTTGCAGTATTATTTACAATAGCCAAGACATGGAAGCAACTTAAGTGTCCATAGATGGATGAATGGATAAAGAAAAATATATACACATACATACATACATACATACATACATACATACATACATACATACAATGGAATATTATTCAGTCATAAAAAAGAAGAAAATCTTGCCATTTGAGACAACATGAATGGATCTTGAGGGCATTATGCTAAGTGAAATAAGTCAGACAAAGAAAGACAAATACCATATAATCTCACTTATATGTGGAACCTAATCCCCCACCCTCTAAAAAAAAGTCTGAATTTATAGATACAGAGAACAGATTGGCGTTTGCCAGAGGTGGGGGTGGGTGAAATGGGTGAAGTTGGTCAAAAAGTACAAACTTCCATTTATAAAAAAAATAAGTCCTAGGTATGTAATGTACAGCATGATTACTATAGTTTAAAATACTGTATTGGATATTTGAAAGATGCTAAGAGATTAGATCTTAAAAGTTTTCATCACAAGAAAAAAAATTTTGTAACTTGTGGTGGTGGATGTTAACTAGACTTATTGTGGTGATCGTTTCACAATATACCAGGGGTGCCAAAAAAAATGTATATACATTTTAAAAGATGTTGTCTTAAAATGTGTATACATTTTTTTGGGCACCCTCTGTAGACAAATATCGAACCATTGTGTTGAACATCAGAAACCAATATGTTCTACCTTGATTTTTTAAACTAAAAAAATAAATTAAAATAAGAATGTATTAGCACATGGGTCCAAACAAGGACCATCTCCACCTTCTAGACCGTTTATTGTCGGTATCTTTGCTCTCGCCTCAGACTTTCACGCTACCGTGTTTTCAGCTTCATCGCTCAGCTCCTGAGGCTGTGAGAGATGTGATTTATTTTGTAGCCTCATCAGACGAGCACACCCTTGTCCTATATTCCTTGATGGTGAGAGGGCTGGACCCAGCTGGAGTCTTAGGATTGGCCATTTTAAATAATCTGTTACCTAAAGGCCAAATTCTTTCGTCGGATGTTTGCTTTAAGTCCCTGTACGAGAAAGACATTACTCCATGTCTGTATTGCCTAGTAAATTTGCCTGGCTAAGCAATTTACTGACTATTGTGCATAGTTTCATTTGTGAAGAGTGCTACAGGTCACTCAAGCTCTGAGTCTCAATTGTTTATTATACTTTTTGGGATAAAGTAATTTGGCCTTGAGGTGCCTAATTATACCTTAGGCATGCAATAAACACGTAACATGTTGTGTCTTTTGGCTTAATTACACAACTCAGAGTGTTAACCTAATGAAATGAAGTAATTAGCGGAATATCCTAAGTTCACTATAATGGCCTAAACTTTAACTTTTCTGTAACAGATTCACATTGAGAAGTATTTAAATGTTGTAAATCATCATGTGTTAACGACTCCTATTAATGATGGCCAGTTATATTCTCCTCACTGTTCCAAATGGTAAGTAAAATAGCCATTTTAGGATCCAAAATAACTTTTCACTCATGTGAGATGACTGTAAAAACAAAATTGTCTTGGCTTTATTCATATCCATTCTACTAATTCCAGTAGAAGTTTTGCATAAGAAGTAAATGGCACAATTTGGACTTTAATAAAATTTATTCTGGGATACTTTATTGAGCTTTAATGCTTGACACAACGACAGTTATTTCAGGGCCTTATTTTGGTGTTACTCTTTATTTTTAGTAAAAGATACCCAAAATTCAACTCCTAAAGGAAATATTTTAATACAAATCGGTTTTTACGCTATTCAGATCACATGGCTCTTTCTTTACAGTTTTTAGCATATGTGATCTATACTAAAGATGATTTTGTTATGGGGTAAAAAAATATATATATATATATATATAAAACTTGCTTGAAATATTCATTACGTAATACATCCTAAGAAATGATTTATTAAAATTAGAATTGAGTTAAAGAGAAATGACCTTGCGTCATCTTGGACCTTCTTATATATCAGCCTCCTGAGTTTTTGTTTGTTTGTTGATTAAGGTTTTGTACCAAGCTTAAAAACTCTGTGTCCCTTATTTGCATTGTAAATATATACAGTAAGTCCTCACTTAACATTTATAGGTTTTTGAAAATTGCGACTTTAAGAGAAACAAAAATGCACAATGAAACCAATTTTACCTAATTGATAGGAACAATAATTATTAATAAGTTCCTAGAGCATATTTCTAGTGACAAAAACATCACCAAACTTCTAAACAAAGACCCAAACACTTCTAATATTAAACATTTAAATAAATGTGAGCTATACATACATTTAACGAAGATTAATAAAAACAAGTAAGATAATGACTTTTCAACCTACTCATTCCAGTTCAGGATCGCAGGTGGTCAGAACCTATCCTGGCAGCTCAGGGCACCAGGAGGGACCCACCCTGGTCAGGATGCCCTTCCATCACAGGGCCACTCACACTTACACCCACACTCACTGAGACTGGGACAAATTTAGACACGCCAGCTCACCCAATGTGCACATCTTTGGGATGTGGGAGGAAACCGCAGAACCTGGAGAAAACCCACACAGACATGGGGAGAATGTGCAAACCACTCAAACAGTGGCCCTGGCTGGGAATCAAGTTTTTTTCTCATCAATGTTATAATGAAACGATGTTGAACAAAATAACATTATTCGAGGACCTACTGTATCAAGCATAAGTAAATATTATCAGACAGTAAGGTCAAGTTTCAGAAATAGTGCACAAAGGACTGTGGAAATCTAGGGAGACAAGCCCCAGCACTTAGTAGTGGGGAACAGAGCCTTGGGGTTACATGGTGCCTGTCTCCCTTTCCCCCACCTGAAGGCAGTGCCACAGGCATCCATCATCCCTTGGTAGAGGCAATCTTTCCCTAGTCTGTCTAGTTTTTAGTCATTTATAGCTTTGATTTTTAAATTTGGGAATGAAAATGTGGCCCTCAAATACGTAGGTTAATATACATAATCTTTTAAAACAAAGAAACTGTAGAGAAAATAATAAAAGGGATTCTTGGAGAAGAAAATATTGGAGGTTACTTTACCAATTTATATAGACTCTCAGTTCTATAAAGACTTTGTCATGGAACCTCAGGAGAAAAAATGCAATGAATTGGCCAGTTCTACTCCTCCCAGGCACGAGGACCTGAAGGAATTCTGGATCTGTAACCTGCTTTGCGTGTGATCTCCTGGCAGGTCATAGGCTCCGAAGCCACATCTATTCATGATAGTCTCTTGGGGCACCCCTGCAAGTACAGGACCAGGTGTGACTATCTGCCTGGGAGCGTGTTAGTCACAGGCAACAGTCCCTGATCTCCTGGGTCTTCCATTTTCTATCTACTGATGCTGTTTCTTTTCCTCCCTGAGTTTCTCCCTGTGACTGACACTTTGATTCCCAGAGCCTGCTTACTTTGAAGACCTAGTTTGGACTTTGCTCCAGTTTATGACCTTAGCTCATCTTATGTCATTTTCAAATTGCATGTCACTTCAGCACCACACGTCCGCAGCTATGACTGAGACGCTCCTGCCACCCCTTCCAGGCTTGTAGGGCTCATACAAACTTGCCAGGCTTTCCATCTTCCTTACAGGAGGGCTGCTGATTATATTATTGTATTAAATAGGAAAGATAGGAGCCAAGGACCACTTCTGGGAGACAGTTCCATGTCTCAATTAATATCTTCCTTGACTCTTCCATGCCCTAATAATGGCCAAGGGCACTCATTATTGGCAAAGGAGAACTGTACAAGAAAAGGTCTCTGCCAGAGAGAGACCTTTTGTTGTAATTGCTACCTAGTGTGCTCTTTTCAGCTATCATAATCTGCAAATCTACAGCCCGGGCTCTCTGCTCTTTTCAAGGTGAGAGGACAAAGAAAAAGCAGGAGACAGGAGAACTTTCATTACAGTTGGTGAAGATCCTCTTCTCCTGTTTACTTTACCCACCCCCTCCATCCTGAGGCTTTCTTGCTTGCTGTGTGTGTGCTCCATCCTTTGACCACACACAAACTTTCTCCACCTGCTACAGATCTCCTGGGGCTTCATTCTGCCTATGTAAATCCAGGAAACCAGGAGAGTTCATTCCAAATTACTACTATCCCTGGATATAGCTTTTGAAAAGATTTAGAACAGACATACAATAATCATCATCCTGATTATCATGGTTATCATGAATTTTGTCATCATCAATATTTTCATAACACTTGATAATTTGCAAAGGACTTTTTTTTTTAAACCTATGAGGTAGATATTTACCCTTTTCTTTTAAAGATGTGAAAACTGAGGCTCCCACCAGTCCCAGGCCATACAAGTGATCAACGGTGAGGTCCAGATTCAAGTCCAGTCAAACGTCTTCCATCTACTAACTTCTCCTACACCAGAGCTGCCTGAAAGATGGGGAGCCTATTTTTCAAGAAAGACGGTTTTCCTTCTAAGCAATTATTGCTCAAGGGGGAAAACCTGATAGTTTTGTCTACTAGAAACAAAAACCAGTAGGTACACACAGTGATAATAATGGATGCCGGCAAATGAAAGATTTTCCTAGCAGACATTCAGAAAACAATGCTAAGGACATTATCAAAAGTAGCATATTTTCTCCAAGGAACTCAAAATGCTTTTGCATTGTTTTCAAAATGGGTTTCACTGGTATCCCCACTTTTGGCAAGATTCTCTTCTGTGTCAGAGTGTGTTTCTTCCTCTTTTCGTTGCTGGCTTTCCCAGATCTTATTGCTTGTGGTATCTGCTCTCACTGTTCTTAACGACCACGCTTTGCTTAGTGACACTAGGAGGGTGACTACCATCTGCACCAACACTGTCAGAACTGCACAGAAACCTTCATTTTATATTCTGTCATGCTAGTGTTTGAGGGGAAAAAACAAGAACGAAGCAAATAAATAATAGTGAGAAACAGAGGGAAAGAAGGGGCTTCTGTTAAATGGTGAGAGTAGATTAGATAATACATTTTCGCTCAGTTATTGAAGCACCTTGGAGCCAGTCTCTTCTGGGTTATTACAAAGGCGTGCACAGATCCCGCTTATAGAGACTCTGACTACATGCTAGTCAGAGAGAGAGATGCAGCACAGGCAGCAAGATATTAACACTTGGTAATCTAGGTGAAGAGTATTTGGGTGCTCACTATTCTTGCAGTTTTTCTGTGGGTTGGAAATTTTTTTAGACAGAGAATACATTTTATAAAAGTAACCATAAAATAAAAAATAACAACTGGAAAAACATTTTCCAGCAGATATGACACAAAAATTCCTAATATTCTTAAATACACAGAGCTCTTGACAATGAAAAAAATTTGACATAGACTAAAGGACATCAACAGAGATAGAAATGCAAATAACCAGTACATATGTAAAACTATTAAAAATATTTAAAATGTTTAATCTCACCGGTAAAACATAAAAATGTAAATTAAACAATATATTACCACGTTTTCTTTTTGAATTAGCAAAACAGATCACTTAAACCACTCTACTACTCAGCGCTCATGAGGGGGCAGCAGGAAGGGCACACTTTTCTACTACTGGTAGAGGTGTGCGTCAGCACAAAGTTCTTAAGGCAATTTTTCAACGTATGTGAGAAGATTTTTTGAATTTAGTAGTTGTTACCTCTAGGAATTTATCCTAGGAAATACGGAGCAATATTCAGGGATGTCTATATAAGTTTGTTCAAAAAACCCTGGACATGATATATAAAACAAACTTAAGAACACTTTGAAGGGTGGAGGGAAGCAGGTAGGCCAGTTAGGGACCTTGGGGCACAAGAAAGAACACAGTGGTGAGGTCCCTCATTTTTTTTTTTGCCTCATATATTGCCTAAGTGACCTTTTATCATTTTCCTTTCTCTGAAGAACTTCTTTTAACATCTCTTGCAAGACAGGTCTCTGGCAACAAATTCCCTCAGTTTTTTTGTTGTTGTTGGAAGACAGCTTTATTTCCCCTTCACTTTTGAAAGATAATTTTGCTGGATACAGAATTCCAAGTTAGTGGGTTTTTTCTTTCCACACTTCAAATATTTCACTCTAGTCTCTTCTTGCTTGCATGATTTATGAAGAGAAGCTCAATATAATTCTTGTCCATGTTCTTCCATAGGTAAGTTTTTTTTTCTGTGTTCTTTCAAGATTTTCTCTTTATCTTTGTTTCCATAGTTCAAATGTGATATGCCTAGTTGTAGGTTTTTAGGCATTTATCCCACTTGGTATTTTCTGAACTTACTAGATCTGTGGTTTAGAGTCTGTCATTAATTTTGGAAAATTCTTGGTCATTATTTCTCAAATATTTCTTCTGATCCTTTCTTTCTTCTTTTTCTGATATTCTCATTATGTGTATGTTGTAGCTTTTATAATTGTCCCACAGTTCCTGGATATTCTGTTCTGTTTCGTTCATGCTTTTTTTGTCTTTGCATTTTAGTTTAGTTTTGGAGTTTATATTAACATTTCTTCAAGCTCAGTGATTCTTTCTTTGGCCATGTCCAATCAATTGATAAGCCCATCAAAAGCATTCTTTATTTCTTATAGTAGTTTTGATTTCTAGCATTTTCTTTTGTTTTCATCTCTCTGTTTATACTACCCATCTGTTCTTGCATGTTGTCCATTTTTTCCATTTGAGCACTTAGCATATTAATCACAGTTATTTTAAATTCCTGGCCTGATAAAAAAATCTCTCTTATATCCATATCTGATTCTAATGCTTGCTTTGTCTCTTCAGGCCATTTTTTTTCTAGACTTTAGCATGCCTTGTCATTTTTTAAATTGATATGCTAAGAAATATCTGACTCAGAGTTGTGCTATGTTTACTATTTGCTGTAACTGTAAGTATCTGAGGCCTCAATTTCCTCCACTGTTGTCTTTGGGTTTCCCTAGAAATTCCTTCTAAATAGAGTGTGAGCTTTGCAGTTGTTTCATGTGTAGTTCTCTGTTATGCAGAGGCTCTATAGATGTAATCTGTCGGAGAGAAGCATTTGATAAGCCTATGATTAGGTCTCAGTTTTTTAGTGGGTCTGTGTCTCTGGACTGTTACTCACATGTTTTTCTCAGCATTTTCACCCTTAGGTGAGACAGGAAGACTAGAGGAGACTGGAGTAAGCTAACTGACCTTCTTCAGGTCAGATAAAGCTTTGGTAAAATAGTTTTCCTTGAGAGCTTGCTTTCATTACAGAGAACAAAGAACAAAACTCTCTGGGAGTATTTTGAAATGGTTCCTTTCCCCTTCTCCTTGCAGCTAGTAGGAGGGGACTTTTCTCTGACCTTTACTGTGAGAACATGGTGGGACTCTTGGAGGTAAAACTCATGAAAATATGGGGCCCCTCTAAGACTTGGCCTCTCAGAGTTTTTAACTTCAAACTAAGCCACACAGCCTCCAGTGATTCATCGATGGAGTTTAACTGCTGTTGATGGTACTGGCTCCAGCAACAGGCTTCTGCTCTTAGCCTTGATTTGCCTCTCTCTCCAGTTTTCAGGGCAGCAGTTTTCCCTATGGTCTAACTTCTCTGATGGATCCAAGAAGAGTTGTTTTTTGGTGTGTTCACATTTTTTCCTTGTTGTAAGGTTGGGAGTGATTACCTCCAAGTTCTTCACATGTTGGGGTGAAACCAGAAGTCCACACATTGCTTTTTAATGATAATTTTACCAAAGTGGGCATCACCATAGAATCAAAAGATGGAGTCCTTGGTGGTTTAGTTTTACTGATCTTAATTACACTGACCATTTTAAAGAACTGGAACCTGCTTTCAAATTAAAAATTTTAAGATATGAATATACTCATTTTTACAACTTTATTTTGTTTTACATTGCTCTCCCATGGAACTAATTAATAAGGAAGACCTTTAACCACCTTTGATCCTTAAGTCTTTGCAATTATATAAAATAGTAGAGGTTTAAAGAATGTAAGTATAAACTGCCTAGTGACCAGCATTTTGAATATATTTAACATCGACTATACTGTGATTTGATTTTATTAAACAAAATACAGCCTATTATGTTTTTCTTTACCAAGAAAATTTTTATAGTGTATTAATTCTGTCAATTGTGAGTCATATATGCATAAACTCAGCCAGAGAAAGAGCTTTCTATTGGTGCTTTATTGATCATTATCAGACTCGGAAGTTTTTATGCTTAATAAGCAACTATGGTTTTTGGGTTTTTTCTTACAAATACAGTTTTATACTGGCAAAAATGCTAAAGATTGGTCTAATTTATTGTAATCACCAATAGAATGTTTCCTGTACAATCTAATTTAACTAAGACACATTGTCTTTAAATTGCAAGTTGTGAAGCTTTTAAGATAGTAAATTTGATTTTAAATTCTTTCTTTTCCCCTTAGGTTGCTCCCAGCTGTCCTTGATCAGAAGTCATATATTTTCCCTCTGGAATCTCAGTGTAAACTTTGGCAACCCCAGCACAGTACATTTCCACATGCCCTTCCAAGAATAAAGGTAGAAATAGAGAAACCCATAGAGACAGAATGTGGATTAGTGGTTGCTGTAGGCTGGGAGGAGGGGAGGATGGGGAATGGCCCCTAATAGTACCGAGTTTTTTGAGGGATGATGAAAATGCTCTGGAATTAGATCGTGGTGATGGCTACATAACTCTGTGAATCTACTAAACACCATTGAATGGTACACTTTTAAAAGGGTGAGTTTAAGGTATATGAATTATATCTCAACAAAGCTGTTAGAAAAAAATGATATGAGTAAAGGTAGGAAATTTCCTTTATAACTAAATGGGGAAACACGTCATTGTTTTTTTTCAGATATGTTCATGGCATGGTTAGTTTCTATGACAAAAGAACTTTCTTCAGAAAGCAAAATAAATCAAAACAGAATGCCTTCAAATTTTTAAACAGAGCCCTAGAAGGAAAGTTTCCAGGTGGCAAGGAATAGAGTTCAAGAGGTTTCTGACTCCGCCTCCTTGGGGTGTTTTTTCAATTTGATTCCTGTTCCCTCCCTGATTCCCCCAAAGTAGTAATAGCTCACCTCTTTTGGATGCCAAATACTGTTGTCAGTGCTTTGGGAATATTAGCTTGTTTAACCTTCAGAATGATCCTAGAAAGAGATGTTATTATCATCTTCATTTTATTAATGAAGAAACCAAGGTATAGAATGTTAAAGAAATTGGCCAAGACAACACAGCTAGTAAGTGTCAGAGCTAGGATTATGGACCCAAAAACACAGGGGTCCAGAGCTATCCTCTTAACCACCATTACCCTTTTAGAAATAAAAGCTTTATTGAGATATAATTTATATACCATAACATCTACCCTTTTGAAAAGTATTCAGTTCAGTGGTTTTTAGTACTATATTCAGAGTTGTGCAGCCAATACATGGTATCCATTTTATAACTATTTTTATTATCCTGTATTTTTCCTTCATCACACTTACCAAAATTTATAATTAGATATTGAGTTGTATGATTTTTTTTTTAAATGTCTGTCTTCCCACTGGATTACAAGCTTAATGAGGGCAAGATCTGTGTCAGTTTGTTCATTGCTATTTAATGCCAGGGGACTCTCAACAAATGTTTATTGAATGAATAAGTGAAACCACAATAGTGACTTCTCATTGCCATGTAAAATATCATAAATCCAGGCCCCTCTGCACTTCCAAAACAGCCTGCTCTTACTTTTGTCATTGTACTTATCACATTGGGTTCCTTCAGCCACTCTCTTACTGTGTGCCAAGGTCTATTAGAGGCATGCTGGGATGAAGAATGCAGACCTGGTCTCCGCTCTTATAGAACTTACATTCTAGCTGGGGGGAGACAGGTCATCAATAAGAAAATACCAGGTAATAATAAAGGTTTTAATGAAGATAAAAGGGAGCTTAAACTTGTCACCTTCCTTACTATTAAGTATCTGCTTCAGTTACATTTTTATTATTTTGCCAAGAATCTCAGGAGGACCACAGTTGGTCCTCAGGTGGAAGATTGTAGATCTCTGATTTATAAGGACAAGGAAATAAAATATCTGAAATTAGGACTAGTGTAGAATATATAGTTGTTATTATTATTCCAGCACAAACTAATAAAACTATGGCCAGAAATTCATTTTTCCCAAAGAGTTTTGCATCCTCGCAAATGATTATAACGATAAAGACCTTCTGTGCTGAGTATAACCCCCAGGTTCTTTTAAATGCTGTGAGCATGGGTGAGCTTCGTTTAGAAAGGGGCCAGGACTGTTGCACATCCTGAGTTTACCTCCAGGGCCTGGCTCCCTATTGTTGTTTTATTTCTAATATCAGTGACATCTACTTAAAAATGCATAACCGCTGACAAAAAAGAGCCCTAATTTTGCATTGTAAAGTCAATGACAAACAGTGCTGTTTTGCCAGCTGTTCTGGCAAGCTTACCACACCAACTTAAAAGCTTGTATTATTAAGTAGTTGTGAAATCCAACTGGGATATTACCATCTTTAATTGCCCTCAGCCAACCTTTTAAACTAGGTAAACCCCAGTTGCTTCTGTAAGCTCTCCTTGTCCAACGTGGATAAACTGTTCTTGGAGTTCTATTTCACACCAAAAAAATTAAAAGACAAACAATTAGGAATTACTCAATTGTAATTAAGAATCGTAATTAAGAATTGTTTATTAATTTTTTTTTTTTTTTACATTTGAAAAAGCCATATTCTGATGGCTTTTCTTTAGAGTTCATCTTAGCTCCCAGTCAACACTAGCCCAACCCTTCTTTGGGGCACCTTGAGCCCGTGTACTCCTAATAGTCAAGGAAAGGGTTTGAAATAAAAACCAAAGATAAGGAGGAAGGAGGAAGAGAAAGAGAAAAAGCTTACAGGCCAAGAGAGTATTTGATTTCCTTGTTGTGTCTGGCAAGCTAGGTCTGAAGGCAATTTCAAAATACAAATTTCTAAAGTATTTAGATCAAAGGACCAACTTAGAAGCATGAGATAGTTGATATGTTTGTGGGCCAGGGGAAATAAAGCCATCTCATTGCTTGAGAGTCATTCCCGATATTAATTCCATAAAACAGATGCTTTATCAATCAAACAAACAAAACAAATCTTGTGATCTAATATGATGCAGCCATGTGTCACAGCTTGGAAGAATCTTTAATTTTGTGAATTGAGATCTAATTGAGGAAATGGTTTTCAAAATTTGATCAAAACTAAAGTTTTGAGGATTTTTTTTAATTAAATTATTTTTTATTAAGAAATACACATTTTTTAGAATTAGTTTCAGCTGTACAA